ACAATCCAAGTCTGTTTTCTGGGCTGGGTTATTCCATCATATAGTGAGGCCTATCTAGGTTAAAAGAAAAGGCAAATTAATTTGACAGCCTGTTTAGACCAGAGCAGTTCTGGACAAAGACTCAGAGATGGGTGTAACTACAGAATCTGAGAGTCAAACTGGCACCTGCCCAATTGTGATACATGGCTAGCTGATGCTTTTAGGATCCAAGATGGATCACAACTGGAGACCTGCAGGACTGAGCTGTTAAAGAACCTACATTTTGGTAAAAAAATAGGTCCATCATTGGATTTAGTCCTAGAATCACAGATCCACTTCAATTATATGTTGCTAAAATGCAGCTGAAGTAACAGTTCAAAGTTTTTTCTATTTAGATACTTAAATTAGTAAACTTAAACCACCCTTATATACCATAACATCATAAAGCTAGTGGAATGTTAGGAACAGTGAATGGATGTGCACCACAAAAGCTGAGGCACCATCTAAAATTACTCTGTCCTGTTCTTCCTACTGACACCACCAGTTTACTCACTTGTAGCCATGATACCTGGAGGACATGCGGGTATCCCGTGATCAACTGCCCATCTGTAAGCTCCTTCACCAACTAAAAAGCTAGGAGACACAGAAGAGGGAGTTTAAACAAAGCCATATAACAAAATCCCCCTTTTCTTGCAATTACTTTTCCTATTTGGTTTGGTCATTTTTAAATTGTAAGCTATGTTTCATAGAACTGTCAGCTATAATTACACTTGGCAACCTTATGTATTTTCATAATGACTATGCAGCTCTGACATTGGGTTTATTACTGGATAAAAACAAGTGCTATTAAATTTGAAATTCATTACCAAATAGCACAAGCTTTCAACTGCAGCTAAAACAGGACCAAGCCTGTCTAAGACTCTTGCTCTCTGTAACAACTTAGCAAGATCTTGAAGACCAAGAACATGGGATGAATGAGGTGAGAATGGTACTTCCGGAAAAGTCAGCCAGTGCAACAGGAATATCAAGAAGTATTTCAAGAAGTACAACACAGGCTAAAAATTAAGCTTATTTAGAAGGACTAAGGTCTATTTCATGGAGTTTTTATCAAGCATTTGCAAATGAAACTAGCCTACTGAATTTTTAATATACTTGTAAAAAAACCCCAACCATCTGAGTAGTTTTTTTTCTAATCACTACTGAACACTTTAGAGTGGTGAGAAAGCACACACTGCTGTGACAATGAGTGAGAGCAAAACACAGACATGGAATTCTTAGGGAGAGGGAAAAAAAAGCAAGCCTCAATTATCTCTGTTGTTTGCCCTTAAAAAAATTCATCTTATTGCCTGAAAAGGGGATGTAGGAGCTGGAAACCAGACAGTGCCAGAAAGATGCTGTGTAACACAATAAAGGACAATTATTTCCAATCTTATTTCAAAAGTGGGCTATGAAGTTAAGAATAACACAACTGCTTAATGGACATGAGAAGTAAAGACTGAGGATTTACAGCAATTAGAAAAGTTTACAGAAATACCAGACTTACGAAAAAAACAGTCCCTGGGACCACGTAGTTCTACAGTTTCTGAGACCATTATTCATACAGCAAATTTGCTGGCATTAACACTGCTGGAAGTTTTCTTGACAGTGCTGTATCTGACACCTGCAGCTTCCAATATGTAGTATTTTAAGATGGTACTTTCTATCTTTCTATGATTTAACCAACACAAGAGGTGTGTCCAGTCTTTCCATACGGAAGTCTCAAAAAAAGGCTTATCCAGACGAGAATTTGAATTTATTAAATGCATATTTCTTACCATTGATAGTGCAGCTCCAGATAAGAATTATTCTTGTTGCAAGATACTGTAGCATAAGTTATTGGGTACCTTGGGAGAACTCAAGTATCTCCTATTAGGTGAGTGCTCAAAAAAACAACCTGGCACTTTCATTAACATAAGAGAAAAATGCAAACTGTAGCCAAACCTAATTAAGTGGTATTCTTCATTGACTAAAAGAAGGTGGTTTTGGTCTTTAGAGTAAAAGTTTTCTTCATTCTTGGGAAGTAAATAAGCACTTGCAGTTCAAAACAACTTACACAGACAGGAAGGTTAAGTAGAGAAAGCATCAAGCTCAAATATTAGGAGTTTTATATGTGGTAATATATAGCACAGGTCACTCAGAAACATTGTGTTTTACAAACAGTCTCACAATTGCCTTTTTAATACTTAAAAACACAGAAAAAGTCACTCGTAATCATGAGAGTGCAAAAAAGCACCCAAGAATGTCTCATAATTTAAGTGATATGACTTTTACTTTGTTCACATTTCAGTCCTTAATTCCTAGATTCCTTTCCTTCTTTAAGATGGGCACGAAGTATTTGCACTTCTGGTCCCAAAGAACAGTTAGATTAGTTGAAGCAGAAAACTCACTGAGGCTCCATAACACCACAGAGATCATCCACCTTTTTTTCAACTATTCAGTGTAATCATAGAAAAGTTAAAATAAACTGTTTACAGGACAAATAACATCAGAATCTCAGTGCTTTGTTGCCTGTACATAAAAATAAATGTACAGACAAGCTTAATTTATTGGGGGCGAGGGAGAAGGGGGAATAAAGCTCTATAGAAAGCAGTCAAAACCACCCTGAGTTTCAAAAGCCTTTGGGCTAATTCAAAATACAATTTTCCAAAAGGGGGGGGAAAACCCCAAAAACATAAACAAAGCATGAATGGGTTTGTTCTCTGCTACTCTGAGAGCTGGTTCTGCACAAATAAGATATAAAGATCTTTCTTGCAAATATATCAGAGTAGTCTGTAGTTGTTACAGAACACACAGAAGATGAAAACATCCTCCCAGCAAGGAGCCAGTGCTTGCACATGCCTTCCAGTTCCAGGCATGCTAGACCATATTCATGGAAAATGCAAGTAAAGGTCTCTAAAATGGTCTTTTCAGAGAATTTTCTCCAAGAACTTGGTTTTCCTGGTGCTGTTTGCTCCAAACACGACCATTTAATAGGGGCTGTAGGGAGACAGGTCACACCAAGCTGAACAGAAGGTGGTTTGGTTCATTAAAGGTGGTCAAGGCAATCCTGGATGTAACAAATTCGCTCAAATCACTCTGAAATAATTGATACAAAGAAGAATTTGTTCTGAAGAAATACAGAACAGAGATAAAAGGGGGTGCAAGTCTTCGTTCACTCCAGGCACTTCCTCGACTGTGCACAGCCCTACAAGTTACACAGTTTATATATTCTGCACAAAATACGGTAGAATTGAAGCAATTACAAATCCTTGTATATTTAAATGGAAAAAAACCCAAAAAACAAAAAACAAAAACAAAAACAAACAAACAAACAAAAAACTAAGGAGAAATTCTTTCCCATATGGGTTAGTATTAATACTGAAAAAGGAATATGGGCATGGACTTGATGTCAGTAGTACTAAGGAGTTCTAAGAAAGGACACATTTAGGTGTGTCCTTTGATCCTGCAAATCTTACAAATCTACATTTAACAGCAAGCAGATGTAAACAAGCCTTTTTTCCTTAGAAAGGTCAAGGTTTCAGTGTAAGAAATAGAAAATCTTCAAGCTTATTACTACAAAACATCTAATCCATTATAAAGTGACTAAAGACCACTGCCAAAGATTCATCCAGTTTCTAACTATGCTACTAAAACAGTGCTTTCTTTGGTAAAGTTATACAACAAACAGGAATATCTTACAGCAGAATACGTAAGATTTATGAGTATTTTCTGTTCCTGCATGAGAGAAAATCCTGCCAATGCTGAGCAGAATAAAATAAGGCAGAAAGATGTAAGGACCTTAGAGGTTTCAAGAAACGCACTCATGCATTCAGGGATACTCTAAACTTTTTAAATTCTAATTTGGGTAGTGGAATTCTGTGTTTCAAACAATACAACTAGAGGCTGATCCAGAAGGACACACTCTACACAGCAATCTACAGCAAACTGGATACATCAGTTCAGGCACTTAATCACTCCTTGCCATCTCTGAATAAATCCATTCACACTCATTAGAATTTCTTCTACTGAAAATTAGAAATACACCACTTTGAATTGGTTTTGAACCCACTATAAGAACAGACCCCGAACAGGTACAAGCAGGCCAAGCAAACTGTGTTCTTCATGTGTTCTTTTATAGAGAAAAACCTCCATAATCCCACTTTTACTAATCTCACAGCTCCTGAATTTTTCTTGTGTGGTCATGTGCCAAACATTCTGTCCAGAAAACATTAAGCCAGCTTATATCATACTATAGGAACAGTCTCCACCACAGGTCTCTTTAACAAACAGTGTCTGGAAGACTCCCCAGTACACTATTTGCCGATGACAAAGAAGATGAAAATTGCACATCTTCACAAATAAAAAGCAGTTACTACACTCCTGACACTTGCTAGGAATGCCAAAACATGCTGCTCTCTTGTCATTTAGCTACATGTGTTCCCAGCTTGTGCAGGAATGCACCTCAGTCCCAAAAACAACGTGTGACACCAATCCCGGTCAGAAAGGCGAGGCACGAAATCATCCACAGCCACCACCATCAGTGACCACGAGCTCTGTCACCTGACCTTGGGACACCCTGTGTGTACAAAGCAAGCCCAAAGCACAACCCATCACATCCCACTTGTACTGATCGTTTGCAGGGTAACAAATCTGCTCTACCAAAATATGCATTCAAAATCCAGGGTGGGAAAAAGGAAATGAAAATATTTCTTGGGTAACCCAGGTGCACCAATAAACTGCATGTGTTGGTTCCAAGTACAGCTCATCTCTGACTTCGAGATTTTGAGTTCCTCTGTCTTTGAGAGTATTTGACAGCCAAGACCTTGCACAGTCTTTGAAAGATTTAGTTTTGTTCTTTGAGGGCAAGAGGGTGTAGGTTTTTTTCCATTCAGTTATTTTTAAAACTGTAGCAGCAGCATAAATGAGGTCACGAAGTCACAGTGAACATGCTAAAATGCCCAAGTGCTCTTCCTTACAATAATTCTAGAATGCTGTGATGTTACAGGCAAAACAATCCCAAGTGCTTGCTCCTGTAGTGACTTCAGTACTGGTTCTGGAACACCAAAAAAACCACCCCATTTGACACTAATCTAATTCAGGTAAGCCTCAGTTTCTTCTGACAGACAAAGAAATGAGCTAATAGCAATTGAAATTAAAGTTCCTATTTCTTAGTGAACCTCTCTGTAGTTACTCTCTGCTTTCTCCATTAAAGAAAAGAGTTTTAAATGCAAAATCTGTCTGTTAAAGGTTTGGTTTCAAGCTGGCTGGTTTTGATCTGTGAACTTCCTGTTCACACTGAACACTTCCTGTTCCTGTTGATCTGTGTTCTGTTCACAACAGAACACTGAAATCCTGCTCTTCCTCACTGTTTAAACTGGAATACTATACCACCCAGCTATGAACTACTTTGCTAATTTTACAGAATAACACAGTAAGGACAGCAAAATTTGTGAATCTAAATATATATATTTTAAAATACCAAAATTCTGGTTTAATACTTCTGCAAATACTGACCATTAGTTAGAAAAAAGGCAGCAAGTTCTGCCACAGGTGACAGACAATAGCAGTCAATTAATATGAATGAATTATTCAAGTTCTCTACCTGTCAATTTAAACTGCTAATGAGAATAAGATGGTTTTAAGAATAATCAGTTCTGACATTTCTTGGATTCTTTCCAAAATGATGCAATAATACATAAAGTTACTATGCATTTAATAGTTACCTCTTCCATCTAAGTATCACACCCATTTCAGTAAGAGAGTGCTTGTTTCCATTTTTGTTGTAAATGCTATTAAATCTATCTTTAAAATAAGAGAAAGTTACTAAACACTGCACATTTCCACACTACAGCCACAAAATAAAGCCCCAAAGGCAGCAAAGTAGGACTATTTTTTATACCTGTTAAAAACCTTGTTGCTTTTTTTAAAGGTACACAGAGGCAAAGGCAGTAAAACTGCCCTTTAACCTTGATGTGTTTTGGGATTTTTCAAAATGCTACAGTAGCAAATGTAAGGATTGAGTATTACAACTAGAAATAACCACACAGACAGAAACTATCACAAAGTTGATGTTGCCATCTATTCCTAACACATCCTTCTACCCACGACTTCATCGAGCGCACAAGATATTTCAAGATCAGAGCACAAAGCTTATCCCCTTTTTAAAGGCTGGTATGTAAAGCAGCACCAGCCTTCCTGGGGTAAGATAAAACCTTCAAATATGGCATGCATGGAGACCAAAGACCAAAGAAAAGTCAAGCAGAACAAAGCAATTACCAAGGTGGAATTCTGCCAGCAGAGAGTTTTCCCTTCTGCCCTTCACATAACAATCTATTTGCAACCGAAACCGGATTCTTGATTCCTGAAAAGTTAGCAAAAAATGGGAACAAAACATTAAAATATTTTTCCACAGAGCACTGCAGTGTTCATTTTGGCAATGGAAGTCAGATTCTTTTAATTTCCAAGGGTTTGTCAAGCCATTAAGAGACACCTTATGTTATGTTTCAATAACTACCTTCTCAGTTTTTCCCTCACATCCTGTCAGTAGTGACAAAGCCTTCCAGTCAACACCTCCCCCACATTTATTTTAAAAAAAAGAAAGAACCACACTGAAATAGTAGGAGTGATCTCCCACCACAGAAATCTCAAGTTAAATCTATTGTATTCTAAAGGCTAAAGATGTTTTATGGGCATTAATTTTTCAAGATGGAAGGAGTTTGCATTTGGACCTATCAAGCCAGAACAGGGATTATAGGATTCAGGCTTAGCTTTCTCTCACTCCCTCATTTCCTCCTTCCCCATGGTTGGAAGGATACATTTTTTAACAAACAGGCCTTGAAACACTTAATTTTACTATTTATTTTAGATTTATATCTACATGAGGAAGCTATTACCACAGTTTAGAACTATTCTAGGATAAAGAACAAAGCTTGAAAACTTGTCAGAAAAGCTATTCAAAAGTAACAGCTAAGACTGTTCATGTACTTCAACAAAACCTCAACAATCCCTATTTGGGACTGTATATCTATATTTGTTTTGTATTGAAAGCTAAAACTAGACAAAAAAAGAGAAACACACTAGTTCTCAGATTAAATAAGTCCCATATGCAAATAAATGATTGAATTATATACCAGTAACTTCTTTGAGAAGGCTGAGAACAAAAACAAATAGAAAGCCTAATTTAAATGCCTGTAATATTTTTTAACAATTGAATTTTATTATGAAGTTATCGTTCTACAAATTCATCTCAGCAAACTCAGCCCCATTGTGAATATTGTGTGGTATCATATAACTGTTCTGCCCCAAAGGATTCTCAGTGAACTAATGAGCCAGCATGTTACATAAAGCAAATTAACACGAATCAGCATTTTAGGGGGCAGGAATGCCTCTCCATTTTCTAAAAGGCTAGAATTTATTTAAACAGGGTAAAATTTACCATGTGTCCCCTCCTTCAAAACAGTAACAAAAAAGAACAAAACCCATCTTTGCACCTAAATCAGTATTTAGCTTTATAATACATAGTTAACATACCACTCAGTGCTCCAACTGCTCCAAAATTTAATGACTTTCCATCCATTATACTGGCATCACATTCTATCTCACCCAGAAGGTTTAGGTTAGATCCCAATCCTGCATTTGTGAAAGGAGAATCCTAAAAATAAGAACAAAACATTGTAAGGCCACATCCATAACAGACTAGATTGATCAAAACCTCTGTATAATTGATCTGAAAACACTGGTCGTGGTGCAGGGCATTTTCTTATTTTGATCTTCCACTGGTCATGGTGCAGGGCATTTTCTTAGTTTGATCTTCCACAACAAAAACAAGGGCACTTTGAACAGAGCATCAGAAATTACTGCAGTGGATACCTCTCACCCTCTATAGGGTATAATAACACTAATATAAAAACTAGTCACCCAACAATTTATGATCATTTCTATTCAAGCAAAAGCCTTACAATCGTTCAGTATTTAATTAATTAATGAATTAATCTAATAATCACTGCACAGACCACAGTGTACCTTTCAGCCTCCCAAGTATGACACTGCTGCAAAACAGAACTGTACTTTTTCTGAACATACTAACCTATGACTGCAGCTCTGCAAGCAGAAGTGAAGAAATGGCATCACTAACAAACCACTCTCTAAAATTTCTATTTGACCATCAGCATAAGGACAGTCACTACTGTGGTCTGGAAGTTTCTCGACTGAAAACCAAGATTTATTTCATGGCAAGTACGGAACAACATTTAGCAGCATCATAAACCTAACTCCTCTTTTACTAGCACCTTCTGTGGCTTTTAACAAACCCAAGGTTCTCAAACAATAAAAGTTTTGCATGCTAGAATTACACCCCATTTTCACCCACCCATTTCATCAGAGCATCCCCACGACTTTAAAACCACAAAATTTCCAAGCAGCACACTTCAAAAGTCTCACTGCCAGCTCAATATAATCCCCCAGCTCAATATAATCCCCTCTTTCTAGATGCAAGCACAAAAGGAATACAGGACAAAGAAAACAACCAAACAGTACAATTTCAGAGAGATGCTGCAGGCTTTCAGTTTTCACTTGTTTAAATTACAACCAGTGTAAAAACCTGATGTGACAAAGAGTTGTCTAGACCGCAAGTGAACGTGTCAGTGAAATGAGATGGTCGTACTTCTACAGCACACGTAATAAAGGCTGAATCAGGAAACAAATTATTGGAAACAGCTCAAAGTTCTGTCTAAAGTGTTAAGGGAACTGGTTTGGTTTTGTACATACTGATTTGCAACAAATTCAAAGGAACAAAAGAGAGAGGAGCACACAGAAATGAAAAATAAATCTGATGTCAGCTAGCTTTTGTTAACTTTCAAATGAGCAAGTAGTGAGTAAATTCAAAATCTGTTTTGCAAGATGCTGATTCTAATTTACAGAGACATTTTAAGATTTCTCAGCGTTTGAGTCACTAAAATGCTACCTTCCTGAAGAATCATGAGTACATAATAGATAATACATAATCATGAAACTCCTTTATTTTCTGCTTCTTCCTTCTGAAGCAGCATAAGATTTTATTCCACTTTATCCCATCCTATTTTAATCCACAACAGTTCTTCCAATTCACTGCGTATATTCATTCTGTTGTTCATTTTGACAGCAAAGCCTCACAGCAAATGAATAAATTTGAAAAGATTTTAGGATAATGAAACATTTGCAGTTAAGTGTGGCACAAATAACTTTCCCTAAAAGGGGAAGGGAGGGGGAGAATATGTTTAAAAAAAAAAAGAAGATGGCCTAGAAAAGGCAGAAAACTCCGAGTAGCCACTGGCTTAACTGACTTCATTGCTCCCCAGGCTCTACAAGTACGAAGAAAATTAAGTTGGTAAAGTTTAGGAAAAAAGGAGCAGAGAAGTGATGGAAGGAATTGAAAGTGAATGGTGAATGGTACTTGGAGGATACAGCAAAACCAGGAATGCTCAGGATGAACAATACTTGTCCAAGTTCCTGGCCCCGGGGTAATCAGAGTGCAAAGACCTGTGAGCCTGGAGACAAATCCCTAATGTTCTGTTCCAAAGACATTCACTCAGGGTGTTATACTCAAGAACATCAGCAAGGGGAAGAACTTGGTGCTCCACAGATTCGCCACAAGGCAGAGACAGCTGTTATTTTAGAGCAGATGTCATGGACAAATAAGGGGCATAAGAAGGACCCATAAGAGGAAAAGTTTAAATAAAGGTCCAGAATCTTCTGCAGTCAAGACACAAAGCTCTCTACCAGCTGATAAAGGCAATAATCAAAAGAGAGGAGGGAAAAAATACAGGATATGGAATGGTACTAGTTCACTTTATGTCTCAGGATCTAGATGTGCTTCGATGCCTTGGCACAGCACTTTCACTGGCACAAAACCAAGAGACACTTTACTCAGAGGATCTCAAGACAAAAGGAATGCCATCTGTTTCTCCCTACAGAGTATTTACCAGAATACTACAGAATTTTTAATAAATAACAATTCTACATCGAACTGAGCTGTCTCTTTGGTGGCATAACTCTCATATTAGGACTCAGAAGGAATCTTACCAGTACAATCAGTCACAACATGAGTAACTTCTCCAGTGAAAAGAAACAAAGACCAAATTCCAAGCACCTGTTCAAAATTTCTGTGGAGTTTCACTTAGCTTTACAATCAGACTGCACTCAAGACAGTCTCAGAATTGCCCAGAGGAAGGTGGTCTAACTTCACACATCTGAAAGGCAATCTGAAAACAGCTTTAAAAGTGCAGGAACTGGGTGTGAACCCGTGGAATTTCTGATATCTACCTGAGTGTCTCTGAGGTGAGATAAAAGCCTTTGAAACGAGGTAGGAAAAAACCTTTATAAAAAATGGAAACAAATTCACACCTACTTCTATGAATAGGCAAGGACATGAAATACACCACAAAAATACAAATCTCTTTTTGAAAACATGAATCTCTGCAAAGTCTGACCAAAAGATTTTAAGACTCTGATATACAAATGGAGGAATACAGCTTATGAACTTATGAAAATTAAGGTGTATTTTGAAATGAAAATTCAAAACCTTCAAGGAATGCAGAAACATTAAAAGAGAAGCATGAAGGCTTTCAAAGAGGGAAGAAACAAAGTGAGTTACCTGAAGAATTCTCTTCATACCCTCAGACAGAAAAATGCAGCAGGGCAAGAACTGACTACCATAAAATCAGGAAGAACTAACCAAAGCATGTGTCCAAGAAGAGGGAGGATGGGAGAGGAGAAAAAGGTTTAATACAAAAGGTATCTTCAGGAATATACTTTTTTATTTCAAACCACAAGCAGTGATCAGCCTTTGTATTTCCAAGGAGGCTGAAAAAGAAGAGTAAGCAAACCAAGCATCAGCTTTGCATGTTAACAGCAAGCCCTGCTACCACAGAAAAGGAGGAAGAAAGAAGAGGCAAACAAATAACTATTCAAAGCATTTTAACAAAATATAAGCCTTTAATTATTTGAAAAATACTAAACTACCTGGCAATTATTCCATCACTGAAGTATCTCTAACTTACCATGTAAAGCTGTAGCAAAGGAGGTAACAGGAAGCTTAAGGATGTGAAACAGGAGTTTCATTTTCCCAAGTTACCCATCTTGCAAAAACTCAAGCTACTGAGGGTATTGTTTTTATTTTTAGAATCCTTTTTACTTCTAGACCCATTTATAAATGTTCTGGCAGCAAACACAGGGATCCTGACGTTTCCAGCTGCAGTCAAAGCTGGAATGCTCAAAGAAGTTAATCAACTCTAACACTTATATCTCAGCAAATAGTTGAAATGCTCTGCTTTCAATGGATTTTAAAGAACATTCCATCCATCTTTGATACAGTTTTGTCCATGGCTTATTTGTGACTTTAAAAGCAAATTCAAAGTCTACAGGTATTTATTTTTGTACAGTGGAACTTGAAAATTTATTTTGCTGTGGGAGTTTAGTGCCAAAAATCAATATTCTACATGGATGAGCCACGTCCCTTTCAATTACACCAGCTAAAATGCTTTTAAAGGACACTTTTGTCACAGATTACTGTCAGTCACTCTGCTGCAAAAGATGACAGTATTGCTTTTAACCAGTATTAACAACTTCCAGTTGATTACCCATTAAAAGTTCATCTTTGGTGGCTGCCTTAATGCAACAAGGCTGCTTCTTGAAACAGAAGTCCTTGGGACTAAGATTGTATACTCAGAAATCTTAATCACTAGAAAAATAATAAATAAAGCACCAAACAAGTTCTTTTGTTGCAAAATCTTGCTTACAGTCACACAAACCCTCTGCTTGAATATAACAGGTACAGAATAACCTTTGCACTGATCCACAATAACAAAAAAAAGGCAAAATAAACTGAGCAATTTCAGCAGCAAGGAGACAGAAACCCAAAATGTGACACCCCTTTTCCCCACAGATCATATTAATTTCCAATTTAAATGATGTTCATAAAGAACATTCTAGTGAAGTCAGGTAAAAACCCAAGTGATCTACACATATATTAATCAAGGATTAGACTAAATTTAGGAAACAATTTGAAATCTTCGTCAGTTCCTGTCTCCAGTACCTGATCAGTACTTTTGTGAAGTGCTCAATAGTCAAAGAGAAGCTTGGATTTGGACATTTTTCTCACAACCACACATACAGGCAAATCAGCACGTGGTTTTGCTGAAAACAGCAAGTTTCAAGCAGGGTGTGTGGAGGGAGACCTCAACCATCCCCCCCAAAAAGCTGCCCAAATAATCCCTCTGTGTTTCAAGAGAAACTCAGGCTTCATATGGTGGCTGACAGCAAGAGTGCAGAAATCAATGGTACTGCAATAATACCTTTGTAGAAGCACATGGTGTAAATGATAAGTCTCAAGAAGTACCTTGTCCAGACCCTTTTTATTACCAAAAACTGAAAGAGGTAAAACGTTCAGTTGTTTCTTTGCAATGGCAGTGTTCACAAACTGGAAAACATGAACAGCCTTTAATCAACTTATCAAATGCAGCTGATGCTTATGAAGAACAGCCCAGTCATTTTAACAGTATTCGGGGTCAGTCTTGTTACTTTGCAAAAGAAATGCACCTTTTCTCTAGTTAACTATCACCAATACTATCACCAATATTATCTCAAACACAGAAAACCCCTTCACTTGAGATTCACACAGTCCAACAAAGAAAGGCTGTTCCTTCTCCACTTAGAGCCTGAAAAATAAAACAAAACACAGACAGCATACCACAAGCAAACTGTCAGCTTGCTCATAAAAGATCAAGAGCAAATCTTGAGCCCCAACAAGTCTTTGAAGTGATGCCTCTTGGATTAGCTGAGATTCTGTGTAATGGGGGTTGTGTAATTGAGCGGAACTGAGAAAGAAATTCATCTTCTGTGAGACTTCCACAAAAAGAGATTTGTGCCTTGCAAAGACTACACATTTTTGGAATACAGCATTCAAAGCCCGAGAGAACTGTAAAAGTGATTAAATATTTCAGATAAAGTCACAGCAATGTGTTCTACAGAAACCAAAATATCAAGAAGTTACACACAGTGCTTTACAGTGGGATCTGTTATCAGGTTATGCAAACTTCTGTTGTTCTGTATCTTCATCTGTATTACAGGGACACAAGTAAACAAACACTGTTTCATGCAGATTTTTTGTTATGTATTTACCGACTTAAAATGCTAAAGCACAAACAAAAGGGTGTGATAGCTCATCAACATAAACATACACTTTAACCAATAAAATTTTGTAGTTGATGAGAAAAACTATTCTGTTTGCTTTGTTGACTTGTTTTCCACAGAGCAACAGAAAAAGCACCAGAACTAAACCAGAACATGCAGCTCCAGAAATGACAAGAGATGTCTGGAGGTGATGTTCAGAATGAGGTGAGTAGATACAAACCTTTACATATTTTGGAAGCTGCTCATTTAGAAGTTTCCCATACCAGATCCAAAAGACTGCCACTGCAAATCACAGTGTTTTGAGTATAAATTTGATTTTTCTCGATGTAACTCCATAGCCACATACTTTAACCTAAAAGAAGCCCAAATCCCAAACCCAACATTCTCTATTCCAGTAACATACAGAACAACCCCCCATTAAGAGGTTATATAAATCAACTAATAAATGAAGACAAATAATTACATTAATGACAGCAATACAACCTGAACAAAATAACATTTAACTTTAAAAAGGAAAAAAAAATAGGGCTTGTACAACAGCATATATAAAAGTACTACCAAAGACAATTATAAAACCAGAAACTGGAATGATGGCAGGCATCAGAACAATAGCAACAAGACAGATAAGGAGAAAAAGGTTTCTGATTGCAGTAATTTCATAAAAAGTTTTTAATTTCATCTTAAAGCCGTAACTTCTTCCACAGATGTTACTTCAGAGTATTTAAATCTACTAAAGTAAAAGAAAAGTCTCCTGGGGATAACAAAAACAGATCAAATATTTACCCCAGGCACAGCTGCAAAGAGATACAGAACTGTTGGGTTAAGCTTCTTAAAATATGTTTTCTCCTGTGTAGCTCAGGAACACGATAAAAATCACAACCCAAAGTGAGTTTTTATTTTTGTTTTCCACTGAGGGAGCTGACACACAAAACAGCCTTGTGGAGCAACAGCAGCCTCAGTCAGCTTAGGGAAGTGCACTGGAAATAATTCCATTGAAGATATCCCCGTTTTCCCTGGGTTATACTCTAATGTGTGAGATAACAGATGAAAGCGGGTTTGAAGGGCTCAGTGCAGACCAGCAGTGGTGCTGAAAGCCAAGAACCTTGCCAAGGGAACAGTGTGACTGCAGCCCTGGCTCCCAGGCAGCATGTCTAACACATACTCAAGTGTGTACTCACTGCCTGCCTCACACCAGCCCCACCAAGGACACTCGTGAACACTTTCCCAACACATGTGTAAGCAAATCCACTGCTAATCCTCTTGGAATACTACCAGGAATTCCAAACCCAGGAAATTATTTTTACAGCACAACACTTACCTTGCCTTCCTCCTCTGCTAATAAAGTCGGAGGGGAAGAAGCAATTACTGCTTACAGAAGAGGAATACCTGTTTCCATCATTACTGTCCTGAGGGATTAGTGGACCTGGGACAATAACCAAACTGCCCTATTTATATCCCAGAAATGTTTAGCTTTACTCACTTCCACATTATTTCACTGGGACCTTCACTGAAGTCAGATGCCATAAAAATCTC